CTAAAGGAGGTGACACACGTGAAGGTGCTCAGCCACGGCCTGGTGGGTACTAAATGCTCAACAAAACAGTAGCCACGGAGGGGTTCTGGCCCCAAAGGGAGCTACTTAATGAAAATCAGAGGTTTGAGAGGTGTGTTTTTTTTTAAGTATCAGGAAAGAAAAGAAAAAAAAAGACCAAGTGCACCGCATTCCAGGCACTGAGCTGGGTCCTTGGTGTGCGTGCCAGGGAAATAATTTGGTTTATAACCTCAGTGACGTCCTAGAAAGGATGGACCCTGCAGGGTGCAGGGAGGCCGCTGTCTGCCGAGCAGTGGGTGAGCTGGGCCTGTGTGTCCCATGCCCTGCCTGTCCGTGTGAGGTTCCCAGGTCAGTCCTGGAGGGAGAGGGAGGAGGGGTCGAGGAGCACAGTGAGGGAAGGCTGGGACCGTTTGGGGTAGGGTGAGCTTGGCAAGGGGCTGGGGGACTGCCCCTGGGTGCTGAGTGGTCCTTGGGTGTGCCATGTGACTTCCCTGCAACCCCACAGCCTGCAATAAAATCCACCCACTCACCCACTGGTGCTCGGCGGGAGAGCGTGGGGAGGAATCAAGGGAAGGTCACGTGTCTGTGGAAGGAGCTGGAGGCGGAGGAGAGCTGAGAATGCAGGCCTCTGGGGCAGCACGGAAGTCTTGGGGCGTCTTTGGACTTAAAGCCCCATGTCTCTGGGTCTCAAAGGGCAAGGAGCCTCCGCTGCCCTAGGGTTACACGCACTCTATTTCCCCAGCAAACCCGGAGCGTGAAATACAACACCAGCCCTCTCCTCCCAGTTATTTTTCAATACTACCCCCCACCCACACAAAAGATTTGGCCCGGCCCGTGTGGCTCAGGGGTTGAGCGTCAACCCCATGAACCAAGAGTTCCCAGGTTCCAGTCCCAATCAGGGCACAAGCCCAGGTTGCAGGCTTGATCTCCAGTACGGGGCGTGCAGGAGGCAGCCCCATTGATGTCTCTTTCTCCATCGATGTTTCTATCACTCTATCCTTCTCCCTTCCTCTCTCTCTAAAACCAGTAAAAACATATATATGTTTTTTAAATCAGTCAAGTTTAGCAGTGGGGTAAAAACATATCTTTAAAAAAAAAAGAAAAAAAATCAATTCCTTTCCTGGCTCGTTTATGAAGGTAGGGAGAGGAGCAGAGGCCAGGGTGGAGGTACCTGCTTAAAAGACACGGGGTGGTGACTGGTGCTCGCAGGTCAGGCCCTACTGCTCCCAGGCGTGATGCACAAACTCCAACCCCCAACCCCAGGGCAGGGGCTTCTGGGAGGAAGTGTCCTTAGGCCTGGGAGGCAGCCCTGGGGACAAAGGCCTGGGGGTAAGAGGGGGGAGAAGCCACGTGTGAGGGAGCTGGAGTTGGGAGGGAGGAGGAGGGCGAGGGGCTGGGTGCCAGGCGGATGAGTCTGGTTTCTGACTTGAGGGTGGTGAGCCCTGGAGGGTTTAAGCAAGGGTCGGTGCCAACATTTCTGAAAGGCCCCTGGGAACGGGCCTCAAGGCTGAGTTCTAAGAACCTGTCATAAAACTGCTGAGAAGGAGCACAGGTCCCGGACTCTCATGGAAGAACCCAAGTAGGAAGGGAGTTCTCAGCCAGACCCCCGAAGACTACAGGCAGCACCCGGAGACCTTGCCTGGAGAGCATCCTCTCTGGCCCCCAATCAGGGGTCCCCGGAACTGGTTCCACCCCGCCCCACCTTGGCAGGCTCACCAATCATGGCAAAGAGGTCGGAGTGGTAGACGGAGCCCTGGAGATGCTTGCTCTTCTCCAGCTGGGGCCTGTAGAGCACCCGGGAGAGGACCAGCCCAAAGTAGGCACCAAAGGTGTGAATGGTCATGGAGCCTCCGGCATCCTTCACCTGGGGAGGCAGAGCTGAGCTGGAGGGGAGCCCTGCCCCACTGCCCCACCCCTCCCCCTGGCCCCGGTCAGGGCCTGGCCTTGGCCACCCCCACCCTCGCTCCATCCCCATCCAGACTCACCCCCAGGAGACTAAGGAGCACAAACTCGTTGATGCCAAACAGTGCCACCTCCAGCAGGGCCATGAGCAGCAGCTGGGCTGGCCCGGTCTTGCCCAGCACGGCCCCGAAGGAGATGAGCACAGCCCCAGCGCAGAAGTCAGCATTGATCATGCTGGAGGGAGGGATAGGGAGGGTGAGCGAGGGGAACCTGGGGAGCCCTGGGGAAGGGCTCAGGGGAGGAGGCCATGAGCCTACTGCATGTCTGAGTTCTTCCCTGGGAGGAGGGGAGAGATCTCTGTGCCTCTGTGCAGATGGGGAGAACAGTCTCAGGGAGGTAGGTTTGGGGACCCAGCAAACACAGCCGACAGGTGGAAGAACCGGATCTTGAACTAGAGGCTCCTCCAAACCTGCCATGAAGCTCTCTCCCCTCCCAACAGCTCTTGGGTAATAAGGGGCTTAAAGGAATGGGGAGAGGGGTGTGGCTGAGTGTGTGGACCGAGGCTGGGAGAAGAAATCAGGCAACAAGAACAGGCGGGGCCCCTGAGAGAAATCAACTGATGGGTCGGAACCTGATGGACAGGGCTTCAGTGGGGTCCTGTGAGCAGGGGCCCCCCAGGCAGACCTGGGGGAGCAGGGGAGCAGCGGCTGCCCACCTCTCCACGCCAACGTGGATGTGGCTGCCGTGGAAGGAGTGCAGGAAGCCCTGGACGAGCGTGGACCACTGCAGGGCAAAGGCCGCCAGGAGGAAGGTGAAGCCCACGCTGCTGAAGCCGTAGCGCTGCAGGAAGGCCATGAGGAAGCCGAAGCCCACGAACACCATGGCGTGCACATCCTGGAAGCCTGAGGGGGCAGGGGGGATGCTCTGGCGCCCGCCCGCAAACCCAGCAGCCACCCAGCCCGGGCCCCCGCTCTTGAGGCTGGAGTTTGGGACTCCCAGACTGAGCCTCTGTGCCTAGCTGGCCAGCGTGGAGCAGCAGTGGGAACCTGACCATCGCTGATGTCCCCGTGTCAGAGCCAGGGCACATAGAGCCTTTTCCTGCTCTCTTCTCTGCCCTGTCTCTGGGCTCTTACAACCACTTACCAAAGAAGGTCCACCTGTGTCTCTCCGGCTGCAAGCCCTGCCCACCATGCTCACAATCCTCTCTCCCTCCCGGCTTCTCTTCAGTGGTCCCTCTCTGCTGGGAAGTCCTTCTCGATGTCTAACCTCCATCCCTCATACTTCAGAACCTATCCCTCTCCGTTTTGAGAAATTTAAATGTAAAAAAATAATAATTTACAAAATAGCTTTAAGTTGTTAACGGGTTACCTCAGGGAAAAGGACATGAAGGGAGGGGGGGACTGCTGGGGCTCGACTCCAGTGCAGACGATGCTCCTGGAGTTATGCAACATGGCGACTGTGCGGAGGAGGATTTCACCTTTTAGTTTGTTTCTTTCTATAGTACGATTTTTTTTAATAGCAGAATTATTTGAACTATTTTTACTTGTCAGTGGGGTTTCTGGGCAGGGAGATTCGGGGTCTCTTCTGTTTGCTTTCTATTCTGCACTACTGGGCATAAGAAACTACGCTCATAAAGTAATGCACAGTAACACTGCCAATACGACACATACAAATAATTTGCTTTAGTGTTAGTTCTGTATCCCTCTCCCGTCCGCTGTAAATGGGGTTTGAAACACAAGCCAGTGTGACCTTGGGCATGCATCTGGGCCTCTTTCCTCCGCCCGGGGTCTCTGTAGACGGCGCCACGCTCTGCATCTCTGGCTTTCATTTAAAACACCACAGACAGCGGTTCATGAGTGCTGCTGTGGCATTTGTTGTAAGTAAGTTATTGAGAAACAGGGTCAACCATGACCCTAAGCTCCCCTTTGACAGCTCCACGTGAGAGCTTTTTCTTAGAACATATTTCGAGGAGATGTCACTTCCCCCGAGGAACCAGCCGGCTGTCCTGCATTCAGGTGACAGATGTGTACCGAGCACGGGTGCATCAGGGTCTCGGGACGCAGCAGCCACGGTCCCTGTGCTCACAGGCGTGAAAGACACCAAAACATCAAAGCATCACGTATGTGATAACTGATGATATTTCCTTTTTTCCTTGGCCGCCTGGAAGCTCAGAGCTACACTGGAATCTCAACCGCAGCCACGATAGGTAGGCCCTGAAGGTGTTCGTCATTATGTTCTGCTTCCCTTTTCTGACACACATGTTTTTGTTGTGAATGACCTCAAGCCCCTTGTAGAAAGAGACAAATCATAAAGAAAGCAAAATCACGGTCATCTTTCTTTGTTCAATCTGGAGAAGCACCAACAAGCCAAAAATGTATTATTGAATTTCAGAATGTAATCAATGATTTGGAGAGATCAATGATTTGGAGAGATCAATGATTTGGAGAGAAGCGAACTTTTGTGCTTTTTTGTGCTGTGTGTGGGCTGATAGGAAGTGAGTTTGCAAGCCCCTGCAGCGGGCTGGGTGTGTGCTGCCAGCCCCGGCAGCTAAGGGGAGTGAGGCCCTAGAGCCCCACCGGCCTTCCTCAACGGTCCCAACATGGCGTCCCTTCCCCAAACCACCCAGACTCCTCTTCCCTCCCAGGTCGGAAAACCTCGTAGAAAAGGAGAGACCTCATTTGGAACTCAATCCACAGCCGCCATTCTTTTAGGCCTCACTGCCTGCCTTCTCTCCTTGCGTAGACAATAAATTAGGGGATCCATGTCGTTCTTTTGCCCAAGGACAGAAAGATAACGAAGGGGGCTGGGTCACAGGGCTCCGTGCCCATTACCTGCCGAAACCACTCCAGAACTTGTTTTAAATGGCAACAATATTTACGTCTCCCACCTCAGGCTTGTTTGGAATCAAAACTCAATCCCTTGGCCTTTCAACTGAAGTCTAAACATCAAGAAATCTCCTTCAGTGGAGAAGGCTGCACACAGACCCTCTCCCTGGGCCACGCCAGCTGAGGCAGGGGGATGGATAAGATGACCCCTCCCCAGTCCTTCAGGGGTCCCTGTGGGGGCAGGAGAGCCTGGTTGGAGAGAAGATAAAAGCTCTGTAGCGCCATCTAGTGTCCTCTCTCTTTCCCTAACTGCCCCTCCCTAACCCCACTAGACTCCTGAACAAGATTGAGATGATGGGACAAGGAAAGTCAAAGCTGGGGCTTTCGCATCTGACAGAGCTGCATTGAAATTCCAGCTCTCCCCCTTTAACTTTGTGACCTTGGACAAGCCACTTAACCTCTCTGACCCTCAGTTTCCCCATCTGTAAAGTGGGGATATAAAATATGAGGAGCAGGAAACATGAGTGTCAAAATGGGGAGGCCACAAGCAATTAAAAAAAATGGGGAGGCCATCCCCCCACTCTCCCTGCTCCTGTCTTTAAGGGGACAGATGAGTCTGTATTCTCCTAGAAGAGGTCACACAAACCGCTCTGGTCCTGGTCACATCCCCCTTCCCCACCTCTTCCAAGAAGATCCTAACTCCATCTATCCTAAGTCCTTCTCCCGGTGAGTAAGGTCTTTTTTCTTCTTTCCTTTTTCCAATACCCGCCTAATAGGGTAAGAAGCTTGGGGAAAGGCTGCAGACAGGGAGCCAAGAGACCTGGTCCCAGCCCGGCTAACTCGCTGTGCGAACTTGGGCAGCCACACGTTCTCTCTGGCTCTCTCTCCACATCTCGGTAGAGTTGACCAGATGGGCTTTGAGGGCCCTTCCTACAGACATAACAGACAGACCCTCAGAGTAGCCATGCCCTTGGCATTGGCTCGTCCCCGGGCACCACAACAGTTGCAGAGCTCCCTTTCATCTCCCAAATCAAAGCGTGGTGGCTACACCCACTCTGGCCCTGATCCCTTCCCCTGTACACAAGGACAGGTGAAGACCCGGCTCATCAAAGCCACAGGCTCCAGGGACCTCACACCTCCCTCCTCCCCAACCGTCCCCCCCACACACACCAGGGTCCCAAGTCCACAGGGGTGGAAACCTGGGGCAGAAAAAGAGGGAGGACTCCCAACTGCCATTCCTCTTACTGCAATGCAGGGCGGACAGCTGTGTCCAGGGCGAGCCCACCACCGCAGAGGGGTGAGAAGCTGGCCGGTTTCAGGGAGGACTTGGAAACAGGCCGGGCTTGGAGGCCTTCAGTGAGGCCCCGGGGAGAAGCAATAGGGGTTCATGGTAGGCAGCCAGGTCAGACCCTTGGACAAGAGCTTACTGCTCTCAGCCTGCGAACTGTTCCCTCCCAACTCCCTGTCTCTCCGGACAAGGCATGACCCCAAGGGTCCGCCATTCCTGCCCTATTGGCTCTGGCTTTGATCCCAGCGTCCATGGCTCACCTTGTCCAGCCAGGGCTGGGGTGAGGGAGGGGCCGTCACCCCCCTCTGCCTAGGATGTCTGGGGTGTCTGGCGCTTTATGCCCAGGTCCAAACCTCCACCTCACCCTCCAGAGCCTCAGCACTGGGAGCTTCATTTTGTCACGCCGGGGCTGGGACAGGGTCAGGGGGGGACAGCCTGCTGCCAGCTCCGCAAACAGAAAGTAGAGTAATAGCAGCCTGTGATTTTTTTTATAGGAGACTCACACTCTGAGCCTTCTTTGCATGTATATCCTTCAAATGGGGCACCCTTCTCCCCATTGCCCAGATGGGAAAACTGAGGCTTAGAGGAGACCTGCCCAAGCATTTGTGGTGACGTTTGAGAGTCTGGTGTCCTTGGTCTCAGCTACCCAGGGCCTGAATCTCAAGGCTGGGCCCCCAACCTTGAGAGGCTCTGTCCCAGCAGGGGTCAGGGGTTAACCCTCCGCTTCCTAGGCCCTGTCAGCAGGCAGGTGAACTGGGGTGCGAGGAGCTCGGCATGCCCGAGTCCCCGTTCCCCTCTGCCGCTCACACGATGGGTGAGCATGAGCAAGTCACCACCGCTCTGAGCCTCTGCGTTCTCCCCTGTCAAATGGGCTGATGACCCTGCCATGCCTCTTCCTCAGGGCGAGGGACTGCTCCTCTGTGGTTGGCTGGTCGGCCGTTGCAATCATGTTCTCTCTGACTTTGGGGGGCCATCTCTAGGCAACTAGGGAAGACGGGCCGGAGCCCCACTAGTCCGGACTGCCTTGGTAGCCACCTGCCATGACCACGGCTGCCCGCCACTCCCTGTCTCCCCTGCCCAGAAGGCTTCTCCTTCCTGTGGGCAGTCAGGGCGGAGGCCTGAGGAAAGGCGAATTGCCTGCCACAGCCCCGCAAACCTGATGAGGCCGACGGGGAGAGGGACACGGGCGCGGTCAAAGCTGGGGCCCCGGCTCTGGGCTTGAACCCCAGCTCCCTCACTTCTGACAGCATGACCTTGAACAGCCACTTAACCTCTCCCAGCCTCAGTCCCCCACCTCTGACTAGTAGCTGGTTTATAGACTAAAGGAGGTAATGCATGTGCCACCCGCAGCATACTACCCGGGGCCGGGCAGACGCTGGGAAAGGTATTATTATACATCTGGGGCACCTTCACCTCCGAGCGAGAGGGTGGCCCACCTACCCCGAGGGGTAGATCTGGGCCCCCGAGTGCCCCCTCCTTGGGGTCCTTGCTCCCCGCGAGCCCTCGCCCACACTCACTTGGGTAGCGAAAGTAAAATTCATTGTCCGCGTTACTGTGGTTGCCCTCGTGCCAGCGGGCAGCGTCGGTTTCGTGGTCGTAGCGGACAAACACCGCAAAGAGGATGGCGGTGGCGCCCTGGAGGAGGAGGCAGAGCAGGGGCAGCTGCAGCCGCCGGCGGGCGGCGCGGCGCGGGGTCCGGGCCATGGGGCAGAGGCTGCGGCTCCGGCTCCGGCTCCGGCTCTGGGCGCCGACAGGCACTCCCGGGCGTGCCGGGCAGGTTTCACCGAGCCAGACCCAGCCCACCTGCAGCGCCCTCCCCCTGCAGGCCTCGCCCCCGCCCACGAGGAGACCCGGCCCTCCGCGGCTCCCGGGGCTGGGGGTGGGGGAGGGTGGGGTCTCGGGCTGGAGGCCGGAGGTGGGGCAAGGACTGGGAGGAATGGGGGCGTTGGGACCCCAGATCCTGTTTCTGCCCAGCTGACCCTGGCGCTGTTCTGCTCGGTATGTACTGTGCCAGCTGGGGCGCAGCGGCGGACCCAGTGGGGGAAGGAAGCGAGGGGGCCTGCACTCTAACTCTCTCCCCCCCAACCTGTGTAGTTGAAAGAGTGTTTCCCAAAGAATAAGTGCCCCTTAAAGGCCCCACCTGCCCCCTGCCGGTGGCTCAGTGGGTTGGGTGTGGTTCCTTGCACCAAAAGGTCTTTGGGTTCCCGTCAGGGCGCCCGCTCAGGCTGCTTGCTCCAACCCCTGCAGGGGGCGTGCAGGAGGCAGCCGGTGGATGTTCTGTTCTCACATGGATGTTTCTCTTTCTCCCTCTCCCTTTACTCTCTATCAAAATATCAGTAAAGAAAAATTTTAAAGGCCCTGGCCTGGCCCCTCCAGGGTTAACATAAGGAAGAGCTGAGGGGTTACTCAAGCTTTTCCAAACTGAAAGATGGAGAACGGAGATAAAGAGATGGCTCTCCAGACCTGGATGGTTAACCCCGCTGGGGAGGTCTGGGCCGCAGCAGGCCAGGTGCTTGCCCTGCTCCAACCCCCGCCTCCCCCTCTCCAACCTGCACCCACCCATCTCCAACCTGCACCCACCACAGTGCAGCAGGCTGGCAGGGGCCGCATTGACAGCGGGCTTTCCTGAGCAGCCCAGGGAGGATCTGAGGGGCTTCAGGCTGCTCAGCAGCTGTAGAGAAGGGAAGCCAGGTGGAAGGAGGGTCTTCTCACTTAGGAGTCCACAGTCCTTGTTACACGAGCAAGATCTGCATCCACTGGGGCGGTAGACGGACAGCGAGGAGACACTTACTGCGAGCCAGGCTTTAGAGACGGACCGGCTGACCCCTCTCCGGGAGCCCCTGTCCAGTTGGGAGACGGACACTTAGGAGGGAATTTAATTGCCATTGGGGCAAATATGTGACCTTGGGAAGCACAGAGGCCGTGGGGACCTAGGAGGAGGCTGCAGAACCCACAGGAGAGGAGAGGAGGGAGGGGACCGAAATGGAGACTTCCTGGGAGGCGATGTCCACAGGCAGTCTAGAAGGACAGCCCTGAACTGGGGCAAGCGAAGAAAGCAGAGGGACATTTCAAGGAGGGGCTCAGGATAGACACCAGCCTGGCTGTGTGATGTCCAGTGCGTCCAGGAACTGAGGCTGAGGGTGGGGAGTCTAAAAAGACCTGGAAGGCCCTGCTAAGGCACATGGCCTCTGCCCCGTGGCTGCTGGGCCACTGGGGGGCTCTAAACAGGTGGAGGACCTGGACTATGGGTTCTGACACCTGCGGGCCATAAGGCGCTTCCGAGAAGAACAGCTGAAGGCCAGTGTCAGAGGGGCTGGTGAGAGGGGAGGCCCTCTGCCGCCGTTGCCACCCTACACCCTACTGACCGCGGGGCCTGTCATGCAGCAGGGGCGGTGGGTGTTGGCGAAGAGGTTCCAGACCCTGCCTGAAGGAAGAGTTGCCATTCCCAGGAGATGTGGTGCAGGTCCACAGGCGCCAGCCACTCCCCAGAGCAGATACGGAGTGGGGCTCCTCCTAAGAACGACCTGGCCCTTCTCAGGAGCCCTGATCCTCCTCCTTTCTCCGGTTCACCTCCTCCCCCACCTCCCCTCATGGGCTTGAGCCGCTGGGCCAGCGTGGGCTCTGGGGGACAGCGTGGGCTCTGGGGGACAGTGTGGGCTCTGGGGGCCAGCGTGGGCTCTGGGGGACAGCGTGGGCTCTGGGGGACAGCGTGGGCTCTGGGGGACAGTGTGGGCTCTGGGGGACAGTGTGGGCTCTGGGGGACAGTGTGGGCATTCTAGGTGTCCAACTTCCTGACCTAAGTGCCCAGCCAGGCGGGCAGGGGGGTGGGGGACCAGCCGCTGGGTAGCAGCAGCCTCTGGTAGCACTGCTCTCAGCAGGCCAGGCATGCTCTCTGGCCTTCGCTGGCCCCTGGCCCCTGGCCCAGAGGCTCTCTACTTGATCAGCAGGAAAGCTGTTTTCCAGCTCCTGCTGTGGAACGGTGTGGGCAGTGGGTGTCTGGTCAACAGTCTGTGGGTAATGATTCTTGGTAAATCAGCATCTGGATATCCTCGCAGGCTCGGCCTTCCGCTCCAGAGGCACAGCCTGCTTTCTGAGCCCTGTTTGGGTGTAGGCGTTGCTCTGGGCTGCCCAGGCAGGGTCTGGGTAGGCCCTACAAGGGGAAGAGTCTCTGCAGAACCAGAGAGAGCAAGGCCTCTCAGCTGGGCCTTCCTAGCATCCCTGGGAGTTTCCTCCCTGATTCCAGCCTCCTCCATCTCTTTCTGACCTGTCGACAGTTTTTCTAAATTCCTCAGGATCTCTGGTTTTCCCTCTCCTCTGTTGCTCATCCACTCATTCAACAACCATCCATTTAGTGCCAATCCTGGGCCCGCTCCTGGGGTTCCAGTCAACACCAGTAACAGGGTTGGGTCCTGGAGGCCCCCTGCCCTGGCAGGTAACCCTTTATGTGCTGGATTGCGGAGAGGTCTAGAGGGAGCCCTTGGAGGGCCAGGATAGCTGGGCCAGCCGCTAGCAGGTACACTCGGAGACCTTTGGACAACATCTCCTTACCAGCTTGTATGGGGCAATCTTGGTATTTTAACAACTAGTGAGCACCAGCTGGTTTCACCCTTTGGCCCAGCAGAGATCGAGACCCTTGTGAGGGTTTCCATGGCCCACCACCTCCTCTGGAAAGGCTCAGTCCATGGTTTTCCTTGGGCTCACCCAGTGATGGCAAGCTCTAGGTGCCCCCTCCTGCCTCCTCTGGCCCCGGAAGCTCTGATGGATTTGGGGGCCTCATCTCTCACTCCTTCCGCCACCTCAGACCTCTTCTTAGGGGCCCCTGGCTCTGTCACCGCTCCCTGCCTGCCTGGCCTGGGGTCTGTCCAATCTTAGACTTTCCATCTCTAGTTTCCAGCTGTGACCAGCTGAGCACCTAAAGGGTAGCCAAGGGGAACCGGTGTCTGCTGCTTGCCCTGGCCCAGCCTGGCCAGGCCATCCATGGGGACCAGGGCTCAGGTTACTGAGTAACTCGAGGTTGCTTAGAGCTGCCCTTTATCAGGGTCACCTCCTCCCTACTCCCTGCTGTTTTGGCTTAGAAATCCCAAAGCCACTTGGCTCCCTTAGTTCCAATGAACTTTCTCCACACAGTTATGGGCAACAAAAGAGAAAAGTAGCAAAGCACCAGAGTTAAGACATTTGTTTGTTCATTTATGTATTGATTCATTCATTCATTCATTCACATTTTTAAAAATTATATTTTTATTGATTTGAGAGAGGGAGGGAGAGGGAGAGATAGAAACATCAGTGATGAGAAAGAATCATTGATCGACTGCCTCCTGCATGTCCCTTACTGGGGATAGGGCCCACAACCCGGATGTGTGCCCTGACTGGGAATGGAACTGTATGTTTCCTTATATATAGGATAATAATATTCCCCTTGTGGAAATGTTGTGAAGATCCCAGATAATCGATGTAGAGGGCTGGCATTTCCTAAGCATTCAACAGATGTGATTATTACTGTTCTCTCCTGCCCTTGCTTCTGGCTTCCTCTTCCTCCCACTTGCTTTGCCCACCCTCACCTGGAGACAGAGGGCCACCTGGCGGTGGAGCGAAGTTAACCCACTGGCCCCCCTTCCTCCAACACCAGCACCTTCGCCCTGGGCTTGCAGCTTAGGTTAGCTCCCTGGAGGGGGCACCTGGGCGCGCTCCCACCATCGGCCCTGGAGAGGAAAGGGGTGCACTCATTCATGCCTTTGGCTGGCCTATGTGTGCTCCGTGGGGGGTTCTCAGCGTGGTCTTCACCTTCCTTTCTTCTCAGCCAGATCACTTGTAAACAAAATTATCCTTCCCAGATATTCATTCAATAAATATTTATCTACTTAGTATTTCATTTCATTAGCATTCAAATATGCAGCAAATATCTCTTAAGAACCAGTTATGTGTCAGGGACTATTCTATGCATTGGTTGTACAGCAATGGAAAAAACTGTTAGGAACAGGAACCACCACCACCACCCTGATTTTTCATTAATGTGCAACATTAATTTTTAAAAAATTTAATTGTATTGTTTTAAAATGTGTCACTACTTGAAACTGGTGACTTGACTATGCACAGAAATCCGGCCAAATAGTCTGCAAATGCCAGAAGATGGAACAAACCCAGTAGGTCCTGGGTTTGGAAGATAGGAGACGGGCTGGGGCAGCAGGTCTCAGGGAAGATGCTCGCTGGAGTGAGCTGGGAGGACCCCTCCAGGGTTCTGACTCTCCCCTTCCAAATTCTACTTTTCAAGCTCTCGACACACCCAAAGCTCTGGATGCAGGCAGAAGTGCCACATCTAAGATGGGCAATAAACAGAGGCAGGTTCAGATGAAAACTATAGGAAGGTATAAAAAAAAAACCCGGGGTTGCTTTACCTAGAGAATGGATGTCTTAGACTCGGAGATGGGGGAACAGTTGGTCCCCATCGTCACCGTGGAATTGGCTTACTAAACGCTTGGAGAGCCCTGGCCAGTGTGGCTTGGTTGATTGAGTACCATCCTTCACCATTTGAAAAATTTGTGAACTTCCATGCAATGCACTTCTAAATAATTTGAGCCCTCCCTAGATATATGAGGATGCATTTCCTACTGGGTTGTAAGATTTGAAGAATACTTTACACACAATCCATACTAAAGGAACCATATTTCTGACTGGACAATAACAGAGGATGAGTTTGGGGAGCAGCAAACGGTGGCAGAAGAGAAAATTCAAAAAGGTGCTTTACATT